TACAACTTATTGTTTTTGTTCTGGTGAGTATAATCATTCTCTTTAGGCTTTTTGCAGTAAAGACTGTGGTTTCAGAGAAAATTCAGTGTTTACATTACAGCCTAGGGATACCTCCACTGGCCACTCCTCAGATGGCTACTAGGGGTGTTTACTGGGGCAGTGCTCCAGACTGAAACATTTTCAAAAATAAAGCGTACCGTGACAGTCTTTGCACCATAACCACTTCAGATAACATGATTATGGTGGTTAGAGTGACCCGTTAGTGTGTGCTTGTCATGCCTAACATGACTTGATTAAAATGTATCTACAAATTGGGCTGGCAGAATTGCTGGCAAGTGTATTGATTTTAGTAAAAACTAAATTATATGTCCTCTTCCCCGCATCTGCTTATCAATTCTTAACATACAATATATGCAAAAAACTTATTGACAGGTGGTTCTCCTGATTAGTTTTACAGCAATGCTAGATGCTGTTATTATTCTTGGAGCACAGATTGCATGAATGACAGTGGATCATAAGAGTGGAATGGCATGTTTATGCACTCACATGTCGATGAGCTGCCAATGAGGCAGACAGTCAGCGTAAAAAAGGGGGTGGGGGGAAGCCATGCTTTGGGGAAAGCAGATGTGCATCCTTTGAAGTGATGTAGCGGGGACAAGGGGTACGTTACAGCTATTGCAACATCCACAAACCTGGAATCAAGGCAGATGTGACTGTAGTAGGGAGAGGTAAATATTCCCTTAAAAACTCTTAAAACAATTAAATATATAATTCTATTAACAAGTGCGATATATAATTTATTTGATCTTATGGTGAACAATGTATTCTTGCTTAAGGAACTGCAAGCCAAGATCGTTAACTTATTTTGACGGGCTCATCAGAAGGCATACCATTATTTGAAAACATTTGTATCTGTCATGTCCCTTAGAGCAGGGGTGCCCAAAAGGTAGATCCCCAGATGTTTTAACACTACAACTTCCATGATGCCTTGTCGATCTAAAAGAATGCAAAGACACGCAAAGCATCATGGCAGTTGTAGTTCTACAGCATCTGGGGGTCCTTTTGGACACCCCTGGCTTAGAGGGCTGGTTACTGAATAAATTGAACAAAACATGCTGCAAAAACCCAGAGGTGCTGGTTCGGGAAGGAAAAAATCCAACATGTGTGTTTACAGAAATATCTACAGGCTGGCAAAACATCTAATCAAGGAAACGTCCAATTCCCCAGACGTTATAATTAATATTTTAGGAGTCTCAGTCCCCCATACAACTCATGTGTAGTATGACATTTCCAAGCCATCAGCTATACAAGCGTTTTAATTGTTGGACAGCGAACTTGCGAACACAATTCCTATGGGCATAATTCCAGAGAGGGGCAAGTGCCCCCTTGCCATACCCATTGGCAGCCCATGAGCATTCTGTATTGGCATCATACAGTAGAGAGTATTGCATGTATTATATCTAACAGTTTGACATGTATTAACTGTAGAACAAGCCCTGCCTTGACTATATATGTTCTATGTCTACACCAGTAACATGCAGTATGCAATTAGGATATTGATTTGCCTGCAATCAATTCACACACTTCCTCAAAACACATGTCCCTCACACACATGCTGATAAACTACTGTCTCAATATTAATACAGATTCTCCATCAATGTCTGATAAAGGACATCGGAATCAACTTTGGAGAACTATTGACCTGCAGGTGGTACAAGGCATGGTGTTCAGGTATTGTTCTCTAATAAAGACCATTTTTATTGTGTCATAATGCTCTATATATAAATATTAATTACTGACTGTGTACTTTCAGTGAGGAACATAGCATTAGAAAGTCACACACAATGGTGAGCTGTGTGGTATGGGACAATATTGTGATGGAGGGGCTACGGATACTGTGTGTAGCTGTATAGAGTCAATTCTGTCTGAATGGCTGCTGTGTACTACAGAGTTATATATAGATACACGTGCATGTCTGCCTAGTTATATATAGATGTGTTTGTCTGTGTTTGCATTGCCAGAAATAGATGTATGGAACCATATCTAAATATGTACATATAGTGTGTGTGTATATGTAGTGTGTTCATGTAGTGTGTGTGCATGTGTACATAGAGTGTGTGTGTGTGTGTGTGTGTGTACATATAGTGTGTGTGCATGTGTACATAGAGTGTGTGTGTGTGTGTACATAGAGTGTGTGTGTGTATATGTAGTGTGTTCATGTGTTCATATAGTGTGTGTGCATGTGTACATAGAGTGTGTGTGTGTGTGTGTATATGTAGTGTGTTCATGTGTTCATATAGTGTGTGTGCATGTGTACATAGAGAGTGTGTGTGTGTGTGTGTGTGTACATATAGTGTGTGCATGTGTACATAGAGTGTGTGTGTGTGTATGTAATGAGTTCATGTGGACATATAGTGTGTGTGCATGTGTACATAGAGTGTGTGTGTGTGTGTGTGTGTGTGTGTGTGTACATATAGTGTGTGTGCATGTGTACATAGTGTGTGTATATATGTAATGTGTACGTGTGTACATATAGTGTGTGTGCATGTGTACATAGAGTGTGTGTGTGTGTGTATGTCTGTCTTTTTTTTATCTGTATTTCTACCTGCAGTAAATATTGCATTTCATTTTGCCTTGTTGCCTGAGGGTAATGTGTGTAGTGGTAGTGTAAGTGCTCTGTACAGTGAGGAATATTCCAGCCCACTGAGAAAACAAAGTATTTACAAAGATATGACTTCAGCACTAATGGCTATGCAAATGTTGGCAGAAGAGCTTGCAATCTGTCACCAGCCACACTGTCCCTAGTCCTTGGATTCTTACCTCAGCCACCACATATAGCTGTGTTCATAAGGGAAAAAGCTATTGGGGTCATCACAGCAGTACTTGATGTCCTTAAATCCACAGCAATAAATGGCCCCCAGGTCACTGTCTGCCTTGGGACAGCTAAAAGCCCCAACCAACACCTTCTCTGCTGTGGTGTAGCTGGAGCACTCTGTACTCATAGTCCTGGCTCCTTCAGGTAGCAAACCACATGAAAAGACAGAGAGGGAGCAGATGGTGTGCTGGTCAATCCAGATAATCCTGTCCCATGAAGGAAACCAAAGTGCTGAGCTCCCAGAGCAAACATGAGACCCTCACTGTAACACATTCACCATCCCTCTGCTAGCATCAGGACCACATATGCTCAGTTCCAGCTCAGCGCTGGTCCAGCAACTACACACATACACTACACAGTGTGCTACTCTAGCGCCATCTAGTGGGTATATTGATAACAGCTGAAGCAGAATTACTCCTTAAATAAATCATACAAACATATGAAAGGGAAAAGATGGGTAATCATTAAAGTGTGAGCTGTGGAGGATTCAAAATAAATTTGGCTACATTTCCCTAAAATTGAATTCACTCGGAATTCATAACAATTTACACTTTAGTGGATAATGCTGATACATGGACTCTGCAAAGCAAGCATACAGTCATCTTAAATAAAACATGTTCTATGCAATTAGGTTAAAAACAATAATAGAAGCACGAAATGTGTTTAGATGCTTACAGAATGCAACATGTAAAACTGATACTGTATGTGATTTACTTTTATTATAACTTAAAATTTAAAAAACAAATTACATGTATTATAGTCTGTGTGTATTGTAATCCATGCCTATCAGTAAATACCACCTTCTAATGCACCCTGTGGTTTACTGTTGCTCAGTGGG